TTCGTCGTAACGCGTGCAAGACTAGGTTACGAGCCATGGTTAAATAACAATTTCCGGATACGACCAAGATGGTTCCTGTAACAGCGCTATCGACCTTGTTGCCCCTACAGTGCCAGTGGTCAAGTTTTGGCTGAGCACGACAAAAGCAGGTCGTATCAGCATGGGGCCATTTCGCAAGACCAATCACAGAACGATGCACTACCGTACTGTGACTACTTCGCACATTAGATCTCCTGGTTGTCAATGCTGACGATCAATGCTGCCGGAGGCGGGAAGACTATAAGTAATCCAGTCGAGGCCACTGTGTTTCTCTCAACTTACTACAAGTCACTCTTTACACGTCAACACAGCGAATTCTCGTTGCCACACTCGTTCGACGCAATCACAATGAAGGCCACATTTTTTGCTGTCGCCGTCGCTGGCCTCGCTGCCGCACACGAGGGCCACGACGAGGCACCGCCAGCCTACAATGCACCACCGGCTTACGATGCGCCACAGCCCTCTGTCTCGCTCGGAGAGCCAAAGGTCTTTACTGCGACTCCAAGCGTTTCCCTAGGAGAACCTCTCACCTTCACTGCGACGCCGTCTGTCGCATTGGGTCCCCCAAAATATTTTACCGAGTCTGCTCCAACTGCTTCCAGCACTGCCTCGTCTTGCCCAGCCCCAGGCGACAAGGACGCATCAGGCCGCTACAGCTGCAAGTGAGTTCTGTCCCAGCTCAACCTGCCTTTTGTTTGTCAGCCGAAGCTAACATCATGTCTAGCCCAGCACACAGTTACCCAGACGGACAGTACTGCACACTGGTCGACGGTTGTTATTTCCTCCGCACCGTTGGACCAGGTGTCTCCGCCTCCGCCAGCGTTCCAGTTTCGTACGAGACCAAGACGGTGTCTGAGTTCACCACTTTCTGTCCATCCCCAACGACCTTCGTCCACAGCGCCACAACCTACGCTGTCACTGCCGCCACCACAATTGTCATTCCATGCCCAGGTGGATGCGCCGTTACCAAGCCAGTCACCACTGCTCCTGGTACCGCTCCAGCTCCTCAGCCAACTCTGAGCTCTGCAGTTCCATCTATCCCAGTCTCTCGCAACGGCACCACTTCCGCACCACCAGCCACTTACACTGGTGCTGCTAACAAGATGCTTGCTGGCGGTGCTCCATTGGCTGCTGCTGCTCTTGGTGCTTTCTTCTTGTAAAAGGAAAAAATGGAGGAAGTAATGGACTGCGATCTCAATTGCAGAAATCATGGACTACGGGAAAAGCAAGAGACGACCACCACAGCAGATACCTTTTGTGCGCGCGTGGATTCCGATTGGGAGCCAAATGATAGCTGTAATAGAATCTCATCACCTAGTCTGAAGACCTACCAATGTCTAATATCCAGTGGTGCTCGATAGCAAGCTGCTACTTATCCGCTGCTCTGAATGTCCTTATTATCTCGGCTTGCAGTCTCTCAAACGTGCCTGCCTAGAAAGTGTTTGACTTCGGGTGTTCTCGCGCTGCAAGAGAGTCTGAGCTGAGCGCGCACGAGCACAAGACTAAAGATCGTGTACATAGACACGAGAGCGTGCGAACTCGGTCCGCTTCCGATGATCGGAACGTGGGTGAGGAGGTCCGGGTAAGGACTCTGCCGACACGAGGGACGTGCTGTGGCCATGGATGTCGTGTGTTGTTGGAAATGCAGCTGGTCAACAGCGCTGAAATGATAGTAGATCTGCATTGCACAGTACATTGTAGACAACTGGAAGACCGCCAGAGGCCGGAGTGAAGGGTGGCAGTAGTTGGAAAGGAAGCGACGTCGGATCCGATGCTGTTGATGAGCGCGGAACTCAGCCGCTCTGTCACTGCAGCTCGCTCCAAATTCTTGGGGTGACGCGAGCTCTCATCACGAAGCTGTGCACGATCGTGTGACACATGAACGCTCCAACGATGGAGCAGAACCATCACACGAGCCCTCATCACGTCCTCTCTTCACCTCTTTCCGTTCGCAGCATGCTGCGGAACGTGTGGGGGAAGGGCAATGGCAATAGGCTCGTCCGCTTGGGACAGGGTAGTCTCGGGTCAGAACACGTCCCGCGTGCAATGCCGAAGCATACACAACCACCACCCGGCAACCATAATACTCATCCTCTTAAGTGAACGCCCACGGCTTGAACCTGTTCTCCGCCCTCTTCCCTTGAATCTCTTCCCTCTTTTGCTTCCGAAGAACATTGACCCTCACCAACAGCCAGCATAGCAGAAAGGTTGCAAAGATGGTGTCCTCCGCAACGCTGTGCTTGCGAACAGCAAGGAATCTGAACAAAACCACACCTTCAGTGCGTTGTTGGGCTTGAAATCGCAGTCGCGTCGTGTTCCTAATTGAACTACCAGTCTCGTCTCATCGCTCGCACATTCGCCTCTTCCTCGCGCCGACATGCGATCAACAAAGTCGTCTCCTCGCCCGAAGAGGCCCTCAAAGACATGAAACCCAATTCGACGCTTCTCTGCGGAGGTTTCGGTCTCAGTGGTGTGCCTGACACGCTCATCAACACTGTAGAGAAAATGCCGCACATCACAGGCTTGACGGCAGTTTCGAATAATGCTGGAGTACCAGGCAGTGGATTGGGGAAGTTGCTCGCAACGAAGCAGGTTAAGAAGATGATTGCGAGTTATGTGGGAGAGAACAAAGTTTTTGAAAAGATGTATTTGACGGGAGAAATTGAACTGGAGTTGACACCACAAGGGACATTGGCTGAGAGGTGTAGTGCTGGAGGAAGAGGCGTGCCGGCTTTCTACACTCCTGCGGCTTTTGGAACGATTGTTCAGTCTGGTGAGCTGCCGTTGAAGCATACTGCCGATGGCGACGTGGCAGAATTCTCAACAGCCAAGGACGTGAAAGTCTTCGACGGAAAGCCATACGTGATGGAGGAGTCGATCAAGGGCGACTACGCATTCGTCAAGGCCTGGAAAGCAGACCGTCTGGGTAATGTCATGTTCCGTTTCTCCGCAGCCAACTTCAACGGAGCCATGGCCCGCAACGCAAAGCAAACCATCGTCGAAGCAGAACACATCGTTGAACCCGGCGAGATCGACCCAGCCGCAGTCCACGTTCCAGGAATCTACGTCCAGAAAGTCATCCAGTCCACGACCCCCAAAGAAATCGAAAAAGTCGTCAACGCAAAGTCCCCCGAAGAACTCAAAGCCGGCGCCCTCGGATCCGGCGACAGCGCCAGCAAACGCGAGCGTATCGTCCGCCGCGCCGCCAAAGAATTCAAAAACGGAATGTACGCCAACCTAGGCATCGGCATGCCCATGCTGGCCCCAACCTTCGTAGACGACAGCATCGAAGTCCAACTGCAATCCGAAAACGGCATCCTCGGCCTCGGCCCCTACCCCCAGAAAGGCGAAGAAGACCCCGACCTCATCAACGCCGGCAAAGAAACCGTCACCCTCCGCCCCGGCGCGGCAGTCTTCGGCTCAGATGAATCTTTCGGCATGATCCGCGCCGGACGCATCAATCTCACCATCCTCGGCGCAATGCAAGTCTCCGCCAAAGGCGATTTGGCCAACTGGGCCATCCCAGGCGTGAAAATTAAGGGCATGGGAGGAGCGATGGATCTGGTCTCGAACCCGGAAAAGACGAAAGTTGTGGTAACGATGGAACATTGTGATAAGAAGGGCCGTTCGAAGATTTTGAATTCTTGTACTTTCCCGCTTACGGGGCCGAAGTGTGTGAGCTTGATTATTACGGAATTGGCTGTTTTTGAGGTTGATTTTACGCATGGGTTGACGTTGATTGAGCATGCGGAGGGGGTTACGGTGGAGGAGATTAAGAGTAAGACGGAGGCGCCGTTCAAGGTGTCGGAGAGCTTGAGGGCGATGCAGCAGTAGAGGAGGATAGGATCTGTGGTCTTATCTCGAGGATTGTGTTTTCGATCGATCTAGCATGGCGTTGGTGGGATGTTAGCATATTGTGAAATCTGTATAGTTCAAAAGTTCAAAATCAAATTGTGCAGCTCACGAGCCATGATTGATTGCTGGATCTATCTTCTGCCGAATCTGCCTCTTCCTTTGGCTTTTGAGTTCTTGTTCTTGATGTTCAGGCGTCTGTAATTTGCATGTGCGTCCGGGTTGACTTTGCGCGGCTTCTTCTTGGAATCGTCTTTATCTGTCTCTTTCGTCGTTGATTTCTTCGACTTTGTGCTCTTTCGCGCAGCTCGATCAGTACCCGAATGGTCATCCACATCCTCGAAGTCACCCTCTTCTGGAGCCTGTAGCTGTGATTCGGCGAGCGTTTCTTGCTCGTCATCGCTAGGATCTTGGTCGACGTCGCCTTCCTTGCGTGCTTTGTGAAACACGGGCTTCATGTTTGTCCGCCTCGTTTGCCTTTTCAAACCCTTCTTCTTCCATGGCTTTCGTGTGGGCTCGTTGTTCTCTGGAGCGCTGTCTTCTTCGCTCGACTGTGGAGCCTCATCCGGACCTAATGGCATCTCTATAGCCTGACTGTCCTCGACCTGCAGTTCTGGTACCTTCTTCTTCTGCACCCTCTCGCCCCTTGACTCTGCGTCTATCTCGTCCATGATATCCCATTCTTCATCCATGTCCTTCTCTTGCTGCTTTTTCAGATTCTGAATGATGGTACTCAAGCTCCTCACTAGTCCACGCTTTTGGAATGGTGGCCTGCTAACAGGCATATGCGAATCCTCATCTTCATCGATTTTGGCAAGTGGATTGCATCGCCGGAGGAATGAGGGTGTCGCGAACATTCGCTTCGAAGAGCTCGTCGTGCCGATGTCGTTGTTTTCTCGTTTTCGCTTCAGAGGTGTACCAGCGAAAGCAGCCAGCATGAATCGCTTGCCATTGGAGGACTCTGGCGACTTCATGTGTACATGCTCCGCTGAGCTTGTCCCTTTGCTCGGAGTTGCTGCCACGAGATCTGCCACAGTACCACCTTGTCCATTCTTCATCGGCGTCTCGTGTACATCGTCTTCGATATCGAACAGGCCTAGCACATGTCCATCCCGTTGCGGTGTCGGACCAAGACCAGCACGAATCCATTGTGGTGTGGGCTCCGGCTCTACTTCCTTTACCGGCGACAGTACGGTCTGAGCATGGTGCCCGGCAGATTTGAGGCGAATTGGCGTCTTTCGAGGTGTCGCTGCAGGTGCACGAGATTGAGGTTTCGCGGGCGAGACTTTCGTGGCAGCTGGTCGCGTGCTCTTTCGCGGAGTGGTTGCAACCGTGGGAGGCTTGGGAAGCCTCGTCAAGTCGTTGTACAATTTGTATTTCGCACCTGCTCGAGCTCGTCAACACGGAGCCAATGTTCCCAGCAAGCCTCAATCATACTTATGGCTGTATCCTTCTTGATATCCTCGCGTCCCGCCTTTCGACCATGCTTTTCCTTAAATGCATTTTCCCACGCTTTAAGCTCTGCTCGTAGCGCGATCGTGTCGACTTGATGCTCCTCCTCTTTGACAGACATTCTTCCGTTATTGCTGCAAACAAACAATCATCTTGGTCGGGAGTCGTACAGTGGTTCGCGTCCAACAGAGTCGCGACTTAAGCGCGGTGCACGTGCGCGAAGTGGGGCTACCATGACGATTCATCCAAACACCAAAAGTCTACTCGCACTTCGCGTCCTGTACAGCAGACTACTACCAGCTCGTGTTCGCTAGTCCATTGGCTTACGAAAGAGATGTACGCCCTGTTTCAGCTGAGCGATACGACAGACTTGTACAACGGAAGCATAGCTTAGCAAGCATGAGTTGCGCCATCCGGAATCGCCCCGTCGTGCTCGTCGCGCCGATGCCTTGACTTAGTATCGATGTCGGCAGATACTCCGCTTTGCATTGAGCATAGTAGTGGAACAAAGCATAAGTATACAACTCAAAAGCTTTTCCGTACTATCTCAACATCGCCCTCCTCTCACTCCAAGACTTCCACGAAGAGACAAATCCAGGAACCATAACAAAATGGCAGACCCCTCGCTGTACACCTACCCAGATCCTCTGGAGGGCTACGAGAACCGCGAACCACTCTCAGAGTAAGATACCTCATATCCAATTCTCCTAAACCAACAACACAAAGTTCTCATTACAAACTTCCTCCAGCGACCGCAACCCCGACGGAAAATCCCTCCTCAACCCAACCCCCACAACAAAAAGAAGCCCCGCCTACACAACCTTCCCCCCTCCCCTCTCCAACACCACCCGCGGCGGTTTCGACATCCACATCTACTACCTCCCCTCCTCCCCCTTCCAAACCACCTTCGCCCGCAACCTGCACTCCCGAATCCGCTACGAATTCCCCGAACTACGCATCTATCCCATTTTCGACCGACCCATAGGACCTCATACAACTGCAATGTTCGAAGTAAATTTATTCACGCCGGAGCAATTTGGAGCTTTTGTGCCTTGGTTGGTAATCAATAGGGGTCCGTTGAGTGCGCTTTTGCATCCTAATACGGGGGAAGGGTTGGAGCAGGAGAGGGATCATACGCAGAGGGCGACGTGGTTGGGGCAGGCTTGGCCGTTGGAGGCTTGGGTTTTGAGACGGGTGGATGAGGAGAGGAGGAGGAAGAAATTGGAGGAGGAGGAGGGGAATGGGGTGAAGGGGAAGGAGGAAGTGTAGGGTTGAGATGAGTTGCACGGAGCTGGGAGATGTGTGAGAGAAGACAACTTGTTGCGATCTGGAAGCATCAAACAGTTTGCATGTCTGGCGAGTAATAATTATGCATTCCGAGAGCGCTAGTATACTTCTACAAAATTATGATGGTGTAAATGCCAATCGTCCTGGTTTTTCCAAAGGTCCATTTATTCTTCTTCGGCCCACGTGCCATATATCTTGTCTGACACACCCTTGGCCCTTGTTTCCTTGCATCGTGGGGGTATCTTTCCTCCTTCCCTGGGTATAATGACCTGCTATTCCCCTGTGAGCCCACACCGTCACACTCGCTAAAAAGCCGTAAAATCATAACACCATCAGTTCGCCGTAAACATCGTAAATCAGATCAAAAGTACAAAATATGCTTCGATAGCATTCCTCTTCCTCTGACAAGTCGCTGTCAATGCTGTTGCGGCACGCATCCCGCAATGCCGATACTAACAAGCATGTACGCCGCGGCGCAAACGCACCATTCGCGATTCGACATGCAGTCCCCGATTTTGGTCGTAGCAGCGACCAGCACTGCTGCCGTTGTGATGAGGATCGTCGCGAAAAGGCGACCTGAGAATGTCGGGATCATGTTGAAGAGGAGGAGTGGTAGTATGGGCAAGAAAGCCAAAGCCAGTAGAGGTTGTCGTTCTGCTTGAGCTGGGAATTCACTTTCTTGTGTTGCTGCAGATGACCTCCTGCTCCTTCTTCCTAATGATGCGGACAACAATGGAGGTGGCGTTACAGGCACGATCAAATCTTTCTCGTGTTCATCAGAGAGAAACCTGGACTCTACTTCGTGAATAGGAGTTTTCGCGGCCAGCCAATCTCGGTATGTTGCGATCTCTTCCTTTTCCGCCGGCGCTGAATCTTTAGTGAGATTGGCGAAGCTCGCAACGGCGGCGTTGTAGTCTTTGGTCTTGAGAAAAATTCGTCCGAGTAGTTCGGTGCGCTGATGGTGCCATTGACTGCCGTAGTTCTTATCGCTTCGTCGAGATGCAGGCGGAGGCGACGGAGATTGTCCACCTTCGCCCGCTGGAACAGGAGGCTCCAGAGTGGCGATGATCTCGTCGACTCGCCGTAGTTGTTCTTCCATTTCTTGCAATTCGTCTTGCATGTGAAGTAGAATCCGGTGGTTGAGATATTCGAATCTACGATAGATAGGCTTGACGGCCGATTGTTCATTTGATAGCTCTCGGGCGAGCATCTCGTAGCCGGCAATGGTCTGCTGAGCATTGTCCGGTGCATCAGGAGCTGGAGGTGGTGCAGCTTGTGCTACATACCCGTTCACTCCATGCTGAGGCACGGGGTACGCCATCGGTATCGCCGGGGACGCATACTGATACTGCTGCATTTGCATGTCGTGCATATACTGCGCCCAGGCTCGCTGCGAGTCCGTCGATCGCATTGATGAAGATGAATAAGATCGATGTTGGCTGTAAGCAGAGTCCACTCGGTGGTGTGCAGATGGATGATGCTCTTGTGCGACATGTTGTCGCAGAGCATCTTGTTGCACCTTCAACCGGTCCTCATGGCTCTCTGGAGGTGTTGGAAGCCGCGCAGCATATGATAATAACGCATTCCGTTGTCGGCCTTCGCGAACAGCGTCTTCAACTATAGCTGAGGTATAAGACTCATGTTCATCGCTTTCTGCAACATCTCGTAGCTGTGGCAATTTCTTACCATTCCTCGGCGATGGTCGCTCAGCTTCAGGGCTTCGACTCCCACTCCTTCGGCTGTCGAGGGAAGCAGCATATTGAGGATCGTACTTTCGTCGTAGCTCTGCCACAGAACCACTGATGCTTCCATTGCGCGTTGCGGTAGGTGAAGGGAATGTCGAGTGGCTGGATGGTGTGTCTGGCAGCTCACTGGACCCGGCATCTGAGTGTTGATAATGCGACGCCGCCGACGACGATGTAGACGAGTGAATTGAATGACTATCTCCGAATTCATCCATTGTGGCGTCCAAGTAGTCGAAAACGTTTGGGATGTCGACTGGTCTGGTATCTATCTCGCTCACCGAAGCTTGGCTAGCTTCCCTTTGCGGTCTCTCGCGGCTACCCCTTTGAGACTGTCGATCGTAGGATTCTTGGGTAATGGTCGTGCCACTCCCAGATGAATGATCCGAAATACGCGTAAGACTAGAGAGTACCGAGAGAAGTGAAGGGTTGAGCCGGGGAAAGGTTTCGCTACGTCTATGCAGGGACCCAACACGATGCTGCTTGACAGACGACCGTTTGTGATTGCTGCTGTCACTACGTTCGTGATGGGATCTTCTGGATTGAGTAGATTTGCTCTCACGGCGGTGCCGCGATTGTTGCCCTCTTGTCTCGGCTCTGCGAGTGAGGTTGGATTCGCCGGATTCCAAGATCCTGGCTAGCTTGGGGAAGAACGAGCTCTCTGTATTACTCCGGCTTCTGCCCTTGGACGACGAACTCTTGCTTTGTACTGCACGTTTCTTGCGTCGAGGAGATGTTTGCCCGCTGTCGACATCGATCCATTCTTTCTTCCCAGTCTTGCTCTCGCTGCCCACTGTCTTGCGCCGCGGTCTCGCCAGCGTGGACCCGCTGCTGACCTCGTCGCGAGGACTCGTGACCACCAACGTGGGAGGCAGAGGGTGCGAGGCTCGTCCTGGATGTCGGAGGGACTCTGGCTAGAGGGCCATATCTGCATCAGCGTGGGGTGAAGGGAGGAAGGCACAACCAGGAAGACGGCAGCAACGGAAAGGCCCTGAAACTTGTACTTACCATCCTCTTGCGTGGCCCGCCCAGGGTGGCCTATACGTACTGACTCAGTGTGGTGGAAAGCATGAGAGGCAAGTGCGGTCACGCATCGTGCTCATGCAACCTGCTCGGAAGTGGAGGGTGAAACAGAGGGCGCGAGACGTGGGCGACGGCGATTGCGCACAGCATGCTCCGGACAAACGACACACGGTAGACAAGACGTGCGAAGAGGGTGTCTCACCGCAGGCCGGGAAGGGCTTGTGTGACTTCCAGGCTGAAGATAGGCTCGGGTTCAGGGGCTATAAGATGGGCGCAGGCATAACAAGGAACCGCCAGTTACGCTTGTGAGCGTTGGAAGAGTCGCCTGCATGCGCTGGCGCCGTCTGCCAGGAGCGACGCGCTGCAGAAACGCATGCGCGCAGACAGTGCCAACTGGTGTTTCGTCGTTGGCCAGACGGCCCAGACGCTGCACGTCGAACTGCATGATGGCTTGCGTGTGAAGAGAGACGGTGGTGAGAACGACAGAGGATGATGATGCAAGTCCGGAAGCCGTTACATTCCTCAGCTCGAGCTAGTCGTCGTGGAGGGAGTGCTTTTGCCCGCCATGATTGGTCTCCAGAACGGCTTAGTGACACAGCGCTCACGCGGTGAAGGCGTGCCCAGAAAGAGGGCACCCAAATTAGGTTTAGCTGCCGTACGAGAAGGTGCTCACTTGATGTCTGGCTGCTGATATGCGGCCGCCGTGAATATCCTCGTCCAGCCATTGCCGACACCATGGCACGCAAAGCCATCCAGAATGACCAGATCGTGAAGCTCATTGTCGGCGCAGGCCAGGCATCGCCCTCGCCGCCCGTCGGTCCTGCCCTCGGTTCCAAAGGTGTCAAGTCCATGGACTTTTGCAAGGTTAGCACTACCACCCAGCTCTCGACACCCACCTGGCGCATCATCTGACAATGGCTTGACCAGGAATTCAATGCGCGAACGGCAAACTATGTCCCAGGCACACCAGTCCCCGCGCGAGTGACAGTCCGACCCGACCGATCCTTCCATTTCGAGATCCGAACACCTCCTACTGCGCAATTACTCCTTTCCGCTGCGGGCGTGAGTCCCATCAAGAACAAGCTGAAAGGCGCGGGCAATACAGCAGGGCCGAAGTCGAAGTCAGGAGTGCTGGGTGCGGGCAAAGCATCGTTTCATGGCGGCACGGCGCCCGGGAATGCTGGAATGGGTCACGTTGGAAAAGTGAGCCTGAAGCACGTGTACGAAATTGCGAAGATCAAGCAGAGCGAGACACGGCTGTCTGGCATAAGTTTGGAGTCACTGGCCAAGAGTGTGATTGCACAGGCCGGGAGTATAGGAGTGGTTGTCGAGCCCTGAGGGAGCAGAACTGGAATTCGGGCAATTGCATAGCGCTGGCTGAAAATGTACAAAGAAGTCACGAGGCATGGCGTTTAGGGGCGGCAATACCCAGCCTGGGAGGGCATGTAAGATATGGGAAATAAATCGCGACTATGGCTTCACGTACGCGCCAAGATATGGCTGATCACTTCAAGCAAGAGGCGATGTACCGAGACCAGATGTCTTTTGACGTAAAATCCGCGTGTCATTGCACTCTGGATTATGCATTAAAAGTATATACAGATCCCATCTGCTGCGATGGGAAGTTGCACAGCGTTAGGTCATGACCATCTGATGTTCCACCTCCTGCGAAGCTGCTCTCAGCTTCGCTCCTCGCCATTAACTCCCGAAGTCTATGCATCTGTCTATGCACATCTACCGCCAAACTCCTTCGCTGCGGATGCACCTCTCTAGGCTGTTGAGCGAATGTGGCTGTACAAATACACAAAAAGCGAATGTAGGGTATCTCGAACCGCGAGCCATCGGTTGAAGGTCAACCACGCTCAAAACAGACATTGCGCCACGCTTGCTTCCTGCTGCAAGCTCAAAAGGGTTCGTTGTCGGGTTGATGAAGCGCTGAAATGCTCGTCATAATGCTGAAATAAATGCGCCATGCAATGCAGTCGTGAATTCATTGCCGCCAGTCAAGTGGCGAATGCCGAAATACGGTCTTTCTCGTGTTCTTCCAAGTCTCCAGCAGCTTCATTACGCTTTTTGATATTCGTTATCGGAGGATGAAGCTAGTGTGTCGCCTTCCCAGGAATCGTCGGTCACTGGTGATCGCATGCCAGTCGATGGCTCGCGGCTGCTGCTGGAGAAGCTGGAAGAAGATCCGATTGTCCATTCGTCGCTGTCGCCGTGGAGTGCCAATTCGTACTCGTCAATGTCCGCAATACCGTATGCGTACATTTCCTTCTCCTCGCCATGCTCCACGTAGTCGTAGTCCCATCGGAACATCTTGCCAGGCTGCAGGCGAGGCAAGAAGCTGCCTTTTGCGATGAAGTAGGCAATTGCTGCGATGATGCTACCGCCGACCAAATCAATGGCGTAGTGGTGGCTCAAGTACATTGTAGCATACCACATCCAGAGTGTGTAGATGACAAACAATGGTCGGAGCTTTGGAAATGTGTGCGACATGAACAGCGCCTCGATGGTGGCGTTTCCGGAGTGCAGCGATGGGAAAGCTCCGAAGACCAGTGGAGATGCCGTAAACGTTGATGTGTAGAGATCAATCCCAAACAGCTTGTCGATTGCGGCCAGACCAGCAGGAGAGCCAGGAATCGAGTAGTTAGCTGGTGCCAATCCGTACAGGTTCTCGTACCAGGGTGCACTGCATGGGAAGAGAATCTGGATCATGACACCCGCCATGTTCATGTAGCCAAAGGCTCTCGCGAATGTGGGGGTTGTGCCTGGTGGTCCGAAGATGAACATCAGCCCAGAGCAGACAAAGGGTGCTCCGAAGTGCGTGATGCCGTATGGTAACCACGCGAGCACATCGAGAAACGAGTTCTTGTGTGCTGAGAGGATGTTGCTCAGATTTGCACCATAAAGAATATTCTCCATTGCAGGAAGCACTCGCACCCAGATCCCGGGTCTGTACTCGCCGGGGATGAATTGACAGGCGTAGAAGAGTACGAGCCATCCTGCGATTGGGAGAAAGGGCAGGAAAAACTGCCTTGTGATAGGTATCACCAAGCTCGTCATGAGCGCAGTCGCCACCGCCGTCTTGAACAGAGGGCTCTTGCCATCTATCATGCACAAGCTGAATATGCCGACCACAGCCAAGAAGAGATATTGCGCGTCATAGTAGCTCCATTGATGCGTCCGAAGGGCTCGAATGGTGTCTGCGGGGTTGAAAGAGGTTTCGATGGAGGCTATTGAGGAGGTCGGTGTCGCTCGTGATCGGATTTTTGAACGCGTTGATCTGAACTTCCGTCGGATGCGATGTGGTATGTAGACGGGGATGGCGGGCAGCGATATGCGAGGCATGGTGAAGAAGCGGGTGGGCGAGCCTTCTCCAAAGGAGAAGTACTGCGTCCGCATGGTTCGAGGCTCGGTGGTCGATAGAAGAGCGGGCGCTCCTGGAGGTTGTTGTTGACACCGGGCTGTTCCACCGAGACCCACTGGTGCTGTGCTGCTGCGGCTGTGTTGAGACTCGGTGCAGCTGGCGACGGGCGTTGCTGCGGTGCTCGCGTGACACGACACTGGGGATGTGCAAAAGGCAAACTCTGCGCGCAGCAGATCCAGCACACAAAGAGCGTCTCCACTGGCAGAGGCGTTGGGTTATAGTGTGAAATTTGGTCCGCAGATCGTTGTCGCTAGGGAGGGCGATTAAGATGAGGTGGACTGCTCGCGGCGGCGCACGGATGCTCGCCAGACGACACAAATCCGGCAGAACAGCGCGCGCTCAGCTGGCCACAGGATGCGATGCGACGCGGAGGGCGGAAGAGGAGCGTTGTTGCACTGTCAATTTGGGCGAAACGCGTTGAAATGAGGTTTGTGGGCGAGGGCAAAAGCAGGTGTGCGAGTTGGACAAGCACATGCACGGCATCATGTAATGCGACAAGCGATTGCACGGAGCCGGCAACATCATGACAGCGACTGCTCCAAAGTTTCCTTGGCTTCTGATGTCTGCCGTTGACTGGTCGGCCGCAGCATATTCGATGGCGCTTACGGACGCCCACGCGCGCTCGATGATCTCACCGCATGCCGAACAGCATGTCATCCTTCGAGAGCCTACATGTGCGGTGGTATGGTGCTGTGCAACTGCCATGTCTCCTCCTGCCGTGCCTGTATAATGAATTGCCACACGACGGTGCATTGGACAATATTGCCCCTCTACACCGGGCCATCCCCGTTGGCGATCGAGAAGTCGTTCTTCGGCGGCATCGGTCCACCCGGCCCATAAAACGACCGGAGCGAAAGCTCGTCGTAAAGCCCGATGTGCAGGCATGCACAAAGCTGCGCTGTGCTGTGCTGTGCTGCACGGCTTCCGCAAGCATCCGCAAGGGCTGCAGGATTCCTCCCATCACTCAGCCTCCAGCTGCTCGGTCATCCAGCTCAGCCGCGATCCAGCTCCTCTGCCCAGCAAATCCTTGCAGGCAGCCGCTTTCGACGTTTCGACTTCCCATTGTTCCTGCTCTCCCACGACCACGCTGGCACACCAAAGCCATTGGCGAAGATATTGCGCTGGGTTCCCTGTACTATCAACTGTTTTCGGCGACAAAAAAATCTCGGAATACTGGGACTTGCTTTTGACCCAACGCTGTGCCAAGCGGTCTGATACTGTAAGCCGGCAGGGGAAGACTGTCTGTAGCATCCTCCTCCATCCCATTGGTGGTAAGCCCTCCATCATTTGTTTGAGCCTCAAATCCAAGCTCTGCTCGCCAAACGCGGACTGCGTTGCAGAAGCCGGTGGGGTTGGGAAGCCATGGCGATTACTGAACTTGCAAAGCGTTATATCCGGTCTTCGTCGGTAGAGTATTGAGATGGCCCTTTGATTAGTTGCGCGCGTCTAATCAACTCCTTCGATTCCAGACATGCAACAGCAACTGAACCTCTGGGAGCGGATGCCAAGACCCACCTCCAATGGTCACAGCAGGCATGCACTCCCATTGTTGAAGACCTCAATGCTTACATACACCTCGTGCTCGACAGCACGTGGTAGTCATGGTTAACTCCAGCTTGTGGCACAAGCGCGATGATACCTGAGGACTCTCCTGTCTGAGGCATCGAAAGATCGTCCTTGACAACCATGAACGCTCGTCTGAACCGGCATCGGCGAGTGTCTGGCTTCTGGGATTGCTCGTCGATACACTTCTCGATGAGGCTCAGTTGCAACACCGAGCGTTGCTAACCTGCTGCCTTGTCACAGCACCGTAACATTGTTTCTGCGCCTGATTGCTCTCGAAAACACACGTTTATCGACAAATCAGCTCGACATTGACACGATTCTTAGAGACACATCTCATAGCGAGCAACCTCGAAAACTGAAGCGCACGAACAATGACCACCTGTGCAACGCCAGCAAACCAAGCATATATGCAAACACACACTGCAGTGGCGGAAGAAGAACAAAGCTACATCCTGACAACCGGAACCGTCAGACGCAAGACACGTCCGCCACAAATCGATACATCCGACCACCACCACATCATGCACATGTCTCCGAGCCCAAGACTCCGAGTCGCCTTCAATCGCCCGACGAGCTTCCTACTCGAACCACAAACCCATTCATCCCGAGAACAGCAAGATCAGCAACCGCTCCACCCCGAGCATGTTCCAAATATACTCAAAGCAGAATCTACAAAGAATCACTCGACTGAAATGTCACTTGACCACGAACACGAATACGATCACGAACCTGAGACGCCCAGCCCAAAAACAACACATTTTGACCTCGAGTACACGAAACCAGGTCTTCATCGCGAAACTAGTGGTTTCGATGACGAGACTTCGCAAGCGAGACACTTTGCACGTCTAATATCGAGAGATGAGAGCAGTCCGCAACGTCGACGTACACCTCAGAAAGTGGAGATGCAGCCAGATCAGCAGCGAGAGGGAGGAGGGAACCATAGCTCACCGTCTACGTTGACTTTGCCCAAGAGGTATGGGAGCGAGGAGCTGGAAGATGATCGGAGAGGACGGCGGAGAAGGCGGATTGGGAGTGAGATCGGGCTTGATCATGAGATGGCCGATGCTTGATGTTAATATAATTTGCTTGTGCCAGTCTCAATGACTTGCAGCTACCAAACGCAGCACCCTCAGCGGATCATCGTATCGGCTTCCAACAATTTCTTTTCTCCCTCTTATTCTTACAGTATGTACACATATACATGATGGGGGGTATCTCTCGTTCCGCCATAAAATGCTCCCTCTCGCTGTTGACCAGCAAATGCACCGCACACGTGCGCCGGCCCCAAAAACACCCTGTATCATGCACTCATTCTTGCTCCATTGTTGCCTGACCTCCAACACGTTCCTAGTCATCATCATGCTTTTGGTGCGAGTCCATCGCTACTATTCGTCTCTCCATCGTCCGACTCGAGTCTCAACCACGGATGCTCAAGAGCCTCTGCAGCAGTCATCCGCTTGCCAGGGTCGAGCTCGAGACACTCTTTCATGAACGCAATGGCTTCATGCTCGTCATCTGAGATGAGTTCTTCGGATTCCTTCTTAGAACGTCCTGTACACCACAAGATGATTTTCTCCCAGCTGTGGCCATTCTCGCTGACTGTGGGGATGTTCGTTTCCAAGACTTGGCCGTGTAAGAGTGCGGCTTCTTTCATTCTTCTCCGCCCGAAGATTGTGCAGAGCTCGATGAAGGCGTCGATGTCGTCTGCGGAATGGAAGAAGGGGAAGCGCTTGGTTAGGAAGGTGAGGAGGATGATGCCGACGCTCCAGACGTCGATTACTGTGAGTTGAGCTGTGCATTTCAACAGGACTTCGGGAGCACGGAAGCCTCGAGTGCCTGCTCTGTTTGCTCGTCTTGAGTGGCGGTTGTCGTCTTTCGGGTATGAGGGCTTTGGGGCTTGTTGGCCCGCTGCTTGTGCTGCTGCAATTGTGCTTGCGTAGACAGAGTTTTCGTATCTGTGTTGACGCTTTGTGTGATCCCATTCGCACGCACAAGGCAAATGGTCTGTGCCTTCTCGCTCCGCCAGACCAAAGTCGACGAGCACGCCACGTTGTGCTGAAGGCGAGTAGAGGAAATTCGTCGGCTTAATATCCCGATGAATGATCTCGCACGCGTGCACCGATTTGAGCGCAGTGAAGAGGCTGTGGAAATATATCCGCATGTCTGAAAAGCTCATGTCTCGATAGTAGTCCCGGAAGTCCTTGTGCTGAAAGTAAGGGAGAACGGCAATGACCTGATCTGTGTCTCGGAAGGCGGTGATGAGTGGGCAGACATTTTCTGAGTCTCGAAGGTCGTGCAATAGCTCCAGCTCGTTTAGAATGCGTTGCGGCGAGGAAGTGACATAAATCTTTTTGATCGCCACATATCGTGCTTTCGGCCGTCCGTTGGTCAAAGACTTCGAGTCGCCGTTGCGGTTTTCCTTGTCGGCATCCAGATCCCAGTCATTGCGGTACTCGTCGTACAACAGATCTTCGGCTTTGTAGACTGTCGAGAAAGTGCCTTCGCCAATGCGGTTGATCAGTCGATAGCGTTTGGTGATGTTTTTGAAGCTCGCTTCGAACTTCTCAATGTCGTCGAGCACGACATCTTCCACGTCCTCGTCCTCGTCGTCGGTGATGGTAGCCCCACTTTCCTCTAAAGGACCTCTGCTCTCGTCCATTTCTTCTTCCATGGCGTCCTCTGTAGTTTCGTCGTGGTAATCTGGCTCGTCTTGATGTACGACGACAGGCTCCTGTAGACGCCTGCTCGTGGTTGCCATGTTGCTGCCTGCCTCGACTCGATCGGCAGGTGCTGTTTTGGGCGCGAGCAAGTGTCCCACGGTTAAGTAGTATGGAAGGTGGTGGTGGGACGCGCTGGCCCGCAGAAGCGCGTGTGCGTGTGTTGTCGGCAAAACACAGGGTCCGATGATTTGTTTACGCTGACAACCACACAACACCGACTGACTTTCTCCCACATTCACTGCACCACGCGGTGCTCACTCGTCGCATCATGGCAGACTTTGTGGTCAGTGAAGCGCTGACTGCGTATCTGGACGATGCGCACGCGATTCCCACTCCCGAGGCGGCACCCGAACTGGTCGAATGCGAAAATGATCCCGACGCCTTCTCGCCCGGTCTAATCAATGGCGTGCTGAACGACATCAGCGCGGCCGTGGGCGAGAACCCGGAGGCGATCCTGCAAAAGAGCCATTTGGACAGTCTACAGTTCTTGCTCAAGTGCGCGCCCACCATTTCTTCTATCCAGCGTTCTCAGTTGTCAACAAAGACGAATCACCGCACTAACAGTGAGCTTTTCGCTCTTTCCAGGCAGACGTCGTATATTCCGCCGCAGTCGCTCGCTCGAGTCCTCGATCTGGTCATAAGTGGTTTGGGTGCAGAGGCCGAAATTGTGCATCAAGAGGATCAGGAAGAGCAAGATGAGGGCGCAGAACCAGCACAACACAAACACATTCTCGAGATATTCGCGTTTTTACTGCAGTGGTGCGTCGCAGCCGTCGAAGCCAAAAGCGCAGAGAAACCAGCTGGTCCAGCGCGGGGCAAGTATACGAAAGGCGCGAAGGGTAAGGCAGCACAGAAAGATGGCAACTGGGATCCCTCGAACCAGCTGCAAACCGCCCTGGACACCATGGCCAAAGTGATGAAATTGAAACTGGCCAAAATCTTTGTGACAACCAGCGACCGCGACAACTTCATTGGTCTGCTCACGAGACCGACTTACCAGATTCTGGAGAGCGAGACGAGGGTCAAGAGTACAGCTATTCGCATGCATGCTTTCAAAGTGCTTTGCGTTGCGATCAAGCACCATGGGCATGCATATGGTGCCCAGACGAGTATCATTCAGAACCTGACATACTTCGAGCACCTGTCCGAGCCTATGGCCGAGTTCTTGAACATTCTCGCGGAGCAGTACGATTACCCACAATTAGCAGAGGAGGTTCTGAAGGAGCTCTCCAACAAAGAGTTCAGCGAGAGCGACACCAAAGGACCAAAATCTGTCTCCACATTCGTGGCAAGATTGTCAGAGCTCGCACCAAGAGTTGTACAACGACAAGTCACGTACGTGGCGAAGCTACTTGAGAGCAACAATTACACTCTTCGATGCGCCATCATCGAAGTGTGTGGTAACTTGATCATTTCACTCTCCAAAATGGACGAAAGTGAGAGGAAAGAGGAGCACAAGGGACAGATCAATGCATTCTTCGAGGTTCTTGAAGAGCGCTTCTTGGACATCAATCCGTACTGCCGATGCAGAGCGATCCAGGTCTATGTCAAATTGTGCGATCTGGAAACCAAATATCCGAAGCGCAGGCAAAAGGCTACTGAGCTTGCTACACAGAGCTTGGAGGACAAGTCATCGAACGTGCGCAAGAACGCGATTAAGTTGCTTGCGAAGCTCCTTGGGACACATCCTTTTGCAGTCCTCCATGGAGGTCAGCTCAGCCATACAGAATGGAGTGAGCGACTTGAGAACGTGGACAAGGAACTTGCTGCTCTCAAATTGCCCGAAGCGACTGGATTAGGAGAACGTGATCCCAATGAGCAGACTGTGGACCAGAGCCTGCTCGACGATGTGACTAGGATCGATCAGACCGAGAAGCCGCAGACCGAAGAGGAGATTGAAGCAGCGTATCGGAAGGCGCAAGAAGAGGCGGCCACGGCTGAAGCAATGAACAAATTGCAGCTCACGAGGCGCTACTACATCGAGGCGCTGCGGTTTATCGAAACACTGCACGAAGCATCGCCACATGTGGTTCGCTTGCTTTCTTCCAAGAACAAAAGCGAAGTGATTGAGGCAATGGACTTCTTCGTCACTGCAGATGCGTATAGAATGGAGACGGCCAAGGCGGGCATCAGGCGCATGCTGAAGCTGATCTGGACCAAAGGAAACAGCGACGAAGGCAAGGGCGTCCAAACGCATCTTGTGGAGTGCTACAAGGGACTCTTTTTCGCTGCGCCTGGCAACTTCACTCCCAATGAGGCAGCCAATTATGTTGCACGAAACATGATCAGTTTGACCTTTGGCGCGACACCTGCCGAATTGACGAGTCTCGAGCAACTTCTGGCGACCATGATGAAGGAGAAGGCCATCAACGAATTGGTCATCCAGAAGTTGTGGCAAGTCTACGGAGTGCAGAAGCGAGACATTTCCAAGTCGCAGCGTCGAGGAGCAATCATTGTGCTCGGCATGCTGGCACTGGCAGACCCCGAAATTGTGGTCCGCGAAATGGAGACCTGTCTTCGGATTGGCCTTGGGGCGATCGGACGTCGCGACTTAGTGCTTGCTCGGTATACCTGCGTAGCTCTGATGCGGATGACCAACAACAAACCCACGAAAGGCACCGAAGGCAAACCAAGCGTGCGATTGCCTAACGATCACGCTGTGCTCATTCGACTTGCCGACCTGCTTGCCATCGAGAGCGACAGCAAGGACTGGTACGGTCTAGCAGAGCAAGCCATTGGTGCAATCTACGCACTGTCGAAGCACCCTGATGTGCTTTGCTCGGAGGTTGTAAAGAGGAAGACGAGGACTGTGTTCACACCGCGAAGGACACCCACCCCAGCACCAAAACAAGAACCCCAGGAAGACAACAGCCAAATCGACAACGATGGCGACGTCGAGATGAGCGAAGTACAAGAAGAGGAGCCGATGCAAGTAGACCAGGAAGCGGAAGCAGAGCCTTCGACAAACAGCTACAACCAGGCACTTGGACTCTCACAGCTGCTCTTTGCGGTTGGACATATCGCATTGAAACAGATTGTTCATCTGGAGCTATGTGAACAAGACTTCAAGCGACGCAAGGCGGAGAAGGAGAAGACGAACCCCACACCGGCCAAGAAGACTCCTGGAGGCCGTGCATCTTCTGGCAAGAAGAGCGACGCAAAGAGCAAAGAGGAGCAAGAAGCAGAAGATGAGCTTGATCTTATGGCCGGCACGAACGAGGATGATTTTGCAGACGCCATTGCTCATATTCGCGAGCGAGAATTGCTCTATGGCGAGCAGTCGTTGCTCGCTCACTTCGGCCCTCTGGTAAAGGAGATCTGCAGCAACAACACGTCCTACCCGAACGCCGAACTACAAGCCCACGCCGCATTGTGCATGGCGAAGCTCATGTGCGTCAGCTCCGAGTACTGCGAAGCCAATCTCGGTCTCCTCATCACCATCCTCGAGCGCTCCCCATCCTCCATCACCCGAAGCAACCTCGTCGTCGCGCTCGGGGACATGGCAGTCTGCTTCAACCACCTCATCGACGAAAACACCGACTTCCTCTACCGCCGCCTCTCGGACCCCGCCCTCCAAGTCAAACGTACCTGCCTCATGACCCTCACCTTCCTCATCCTCGCCGGGCAAGTCAAAGTCAAAGGGCAACTGGGCGAAATGGCCAAATGCGTCGAAGACAGCGATCAAGGCATCCGCGAAATGTCTCGCATGTTTTTCTCTGAACTCGCAGGGAAAGACAATGCGATTTATAACCATTTTGTCGATATGTTCTCTTTGCTTTCTGCGGATGAGGAATTGGAAGAGGAGAGGTTTAGGAGAATTATTAAATTTTTGGCGGGTTTTATTGAGAAGGATAAACATGCTAAGCAGTTGGCTAGTAAACTTGCGCCCAGGTTGCAGAGGGCGGAGAGTGAGAGGCAGTGGGGGGATGTTGCTTTTGCGTTGGGGTTGTTGCCGCATAAGAATGAGGAGATTACGAAGGTTGTGCAGGAGGGGTGTAAGGTTGTTGGGGGGCAGCAGGCTTAGGCTTAGGCTTGATGAGGGTGTTGTTATGATGTTGATGTTGATGGGACTGGACGAGATGGATACCCATGAGGCGTTTTTGGAGGAGGGTTTTGAAGGGAGTGCTTACGAGCGCTTCATGTTTTTGGGTGGATCGTCTCGATATTTCGTAACCTCTGTACAGAAGAATGAGTCTGATGAACACTTGTACTGTCTTCGATATTGCTTGACAGATTGTCTAGCTGAGACTGATGACATTATTTGTCGCTGTCGATTATATCCCTGGTCTTCTCTCGACCTATGCTATGCTATGCCATGCTGCCACCATTGCTATGCAGATAATCTCGCAGAGACACCTGGCAGTAGTCCTGTCTGTTGAGACTCCCGCCTTCAAACTACCCAACACTAACACCGTTTTTCGCTATGCAAGATTTTTCCGATGTCCCCATTGTAGGACCCCCACCCCCCAACGCCGCGCTCGCTGAACAACAACAATTGTCAGATATACGCTAAAAATGCCTTGAAGAAACGAATCTCCCTTCTCTCCGAACATAATGAGTGAACTCACTCGCTCACTGAACTCAAAACTCCAACCCCGCAAGTCCATTCCTCATATTCTCCACCGTTTTGACTCCCACACCCTTCAATTTCCCCAACTGTCCCAAATCCGTAACGCTATCCTCGAGATCACAGAGACAATTCACGATGGATTCTGCTTTTTTCGCTCCGACGCCTTTGAGGAGTTTGATGCGGCTGACATCTTTGGTGTTGATTATACTGAGGAGTTGTTTTGTTCGAGGGGTTTGGGAGAGGAGAGAGGTGGCGAGTTCGTCGTCGGAGTCGTCGTTTTCTGGTAAGGGGGAATGTTTGATTCCTTCGGCTGGTTCAGATTCTGCTGATGTGGATGGGGGGATTAGGGAGCGGGAGGTTGGTTTTGTGGAACGGGGGCGGGGTTTGGATTTTAGTCTGTAGGAGAAGGAGTCCTCGTCGGAGTCGTCATGTTTTTCGGCGACGTCTTCATGGTAGCTTTCGTCTTCTTCAACTTGGCGGCTTTGTCGAGTGATGGGTTCTGGGCTGAAGCGCTGGGCGTGCTTCTCGGCGAGCTTTGCGGCGATTTTATCTTGCAGCGCGGCTACTTTGCGCACTAGTTTCTGGTTGCCAGGGAAGTATGGCAGAGCAAGCTGGTACATTTTCAAAGCACTGGCATCCTCGCCTCGCACTTGATGCTGCTTGGCCATAAGCAAGTACTGGAGTCCTTCAGCTCGTTCTGTCTCTTGCCCCTCTACTCGCTTTTCGAGAGCGTCTAGTCTCTTCTGTACTTCATCTGAGATGGGATCCTGACTTGGCACAGCAGCTTGGTCTTTCCGTCCCGCGAGCGCTTCTGCAACCTTGCGCTCAATAAGCGCTTCGATGCTGTCACTAGTCATTGCCGATTGTAATGCTCGCGAGGCACTGTTTGGTTTGATGGACTTAGACGGTCTGCTCAGAGCACCTATCGCCTCGCTACTAGCGACTCTTTTGGGCGATTTGACTCCGGCAACAGCGGTCCTGGCCGAGGCAATATTTGGGAGATTGGTAGGTTTTGTCTTTGGAGGCTTGTCCGCAAAGACAGCGAATTGCTTGACAGGCTTTGGTACATTGGTCAGATCCTTGAGAGCGCTGTTCTGAGATAGTAGCTTCGGTCGCAATGGCTGTCTGTTCATCCCAGGGCCGGCAGCGGCGGATGGCTTCTCGTCCTTGGATTTGCCTTCGCGGAAGAATGGCTGATTCTCAATCTCATTGACCTCGATCTTTTTCGTTCGGTTGGCGAAATTGAGACTGCTGAGGGTGTCGAGATGGTAGCTCCTTACTGGCGCGAGGTTTAGAATCATGACTGTGAGACCGTTGTTCTGCCCAAGTGCTAAGATGCGCGTCATCTTGGACTCCCGATATGGTATACGCGACTTCTTCTGCGAGATGGCTTCAACGCATGACGCGAGCACGAACAAACTCTTGTTGATCGCTGAGCTCTCCACCAGACGCTCTTTGTTGTTGTCTGTCCGCCTGTTGTCCTCTGAACCTGCAAGATCTATACATGATGCCGTGCTCACTTGAAACTCTTCGCCTGTGAATTGGGTAACCTTAACGCAGAGGATGGCGTGCGATCGCGAAGAGTGTGCATTGAGCTTTGTGGCAGATGTTGACCGGTTGACGTTCGCCTCGTCGTATGCTTGCTCAAAGTCCTTTAAACTCGTGCATGGCCTTTCGGTGAGGCCCACGACAACGGCCTTTCCCTTGGAGGTGTCTCGAATGGGCAGGCCAGCTGGAGTGCGCTTCTCGGGAGGCTCAAACAGGTCGAAGACGCGATCATTGTAGATCTCGTAGTATGACATGGAGACCTCCACATGCGTGTTTCCTTCGCTATCCTTCTCGGTCTTTCGCGCTCGCCGGTATATGCTCGACAACAGTCGCGGTATTACTCCTCGGTCCGCCAAAGTCTTGCCTCCTCTCATGGTGTGTGTCTTGCCCGTCCCTGTGACTCCATACGCGAATAGTGTCACGTCGAACCCTTTGAAGAGATGCTTCACGGTGGGCGAGACTTCCTGCTCGAAGATTTCCTGCTGTGTAGCATTCTGGCCGTAGACGCTGCTGAACTCGAAGGTGTACAGCTCGGACTCCTTCTTGGGGTTGGGTATGCGCACGACCGTGTCGCGCTCGCCCGCTTGAGCTGGAGCTCTGGCGGCGTCGACGATGACATCCTTCTCGATCTCGTCCTTCAGCAGCGGCCTGATGCGGGCCACGACGCGTACGGACATGGCGCTGGGTGATGTTTGAGAAGTATGCCGGGCTAGGAGACGCGTGGAGGAGGAGTCGCCGGACACAGTTCGATCATGAAGGCGGTCAAGCCGTCTGGTCGAATGGAGTCCAAGCTTCCTGGTCAATGTGATGCACGAAACACGTGAAGTTGGCCTCTCTCTCTCGCAGTGATCGGGCTTGTTAATTTCGGCACGCCGCTATTTACTGGCTGTCGACCGAGCAACCGTGCTCATTCTACCCGATGCTCAATAATTGCTGACTGGCACTCTACTCCAACACTCTTCTTTTCTCGCACACTGTAGACACGTCTTCTACATCTCCTGAGACCGATTCCCATGCAGCCGACATGTCCTGCGCGTACCGAAAGTCGTCTGCCAACGGACGGACTCCCCGTGTAGCCTCAGTAGGATCGGCGGCAGGCCAGCCAACCGGATCCCACGTTCCTCTGCCGAGAGCCAGATTGTGAGACTGCGCAACAGCAGCACTCAACCTCTCGACGCGCTCGATATACCACGACTTCGCACAGTCCAGAAAGCGGTCCTGCACGTCGCTGTCCGTCAAGTTCACGATGATGATGCCGACTGTGCAGCCAGCAATTGCAGCAGCGCGTAGACATCCACAACCATGTCGCAAGTTCTCACTATTGTTCCTGTTTCGTCACCTTTCTCACTGCAACACGCGTTTGTTTCTATTGACGCTGAAGCTGGTCTTCGCGCAGATTAATCACTAATATTCTCGTCCATCATCTATCAAGACGAGCACCGCAGACTTCGCAGATGCCCCAAAGAAACCATCTCATCCTTCTGCTCTTGAGCAGAATCACGACAAGCCATGCGGATCTCCTCGCCCCGAGATATGCAAATACCTCAGGCAGTGTGCAGGCGACCATCACCACATTTCCACTGCCAGTCGTCGTCACTGCAGATCCAGGCATATCGACAGACACTTCCTCCGCGAGCACTTCGAATACTGCGGTAACGCATGGGGAAACACAGGCGACTTCAGATTCGGCATCAGCGACCACTGAACAACCATCTGCTTCGTCCATCCACTTCAGCTATGTGCCAGGAAGTGTATCGAACACGCCGTCGATTACTGGCTCTTCTTCGAGCGTGACAATTTCGAGCAACGAGCCAACCATCACGTCCAGTGCACCCGCGAGCGCTGAGTCAGGCGCATCCTCAATAGCCTCGTTGTCGTTCAGTTACGTCCCAGCCAACTCAAGTCAGAGCTCAGTACGGACATCAAGCACATCTTTATCAAGCTCTACGAGCTCAGCGGTGCCTATGCCACGCAGTACGACTTTCCTGACACTCTACACCACCATATATCGAAGCGCCAAAAGCGGGGAGGCGGCGACTGCAGGAGATCAGCCTTCAGAGAGCACTGCAACCAATGGCGTGGTTTCCGATATAGGAAAGGATACCACGACTACCACGACGATCTTTACCACTATATATGCTCCGGCAAGTGGAGGCCAGAGCTCGCTGCCAGGAAGTGCATCCACGATTGCAGTACCAAGTCTTGGCACTGAATCGTCACTAGCGCCAGTAGAGAGTCAACCTCCTGCCACGTCTCACGCCCCACCGGCTTCACCGACCAGTACCAGTACAACATCGGAGAAGTCCGGTTCCAGTTCGGAGCAGATTCCATCGACTATAGCGTTCTCATACGTTCCTGGATCAACTTTCGTTACCAGCACGAAATCACATACGAACAGCCCTAGCACTGTAGACATTTCAACCATACAATTCTCCTACGTCCCGGGACCAGCTTCTCCTTCGGCTCCTTCAGGCTCAAACCCACCCGAAAGTCCGCCTCCTTATATGGGAACATTAGCATCCTCTAGTACAGCGGAGCCATCGTCGTCGACCACTCCTTCAAAACCAGGCGGGATAACGATCATTCCCGTCGATCCAAACGCCACAACCATCACGATTACCAAAACAGACCCAGGGGCAACCCAGACCGTAACAGAAACAGTAGCAGAGAGGACAGTAACTGTGACCGCTTGAATCATGGTGCTGGAACATCGTGGCAGCGCAGAAAGCTCAAGATTCTGTAGATATACCGCTTGCAATAAGACTGATAACAATTGTGCACATGCTTCTTTAGGTTTGGTTGCATGTCTTTGCCTTTGACACTGTCGACTGACGCGTGCCCCTCACTCTTCATGCACTAGCCTGACTGAGCTTTTGAAGTGTAAGGTCCACATCATTCCGGCGAAAAGATCAAACTGCCGATGGCATATGACGATCATGAGGTTGAGACTGGAGGCGACTGACGATCAAGCGTCGAAGAATAGAAAATGTCAACCAAAACTTCACCACTCCCCGTGACATATTGATGCGATTTCGGAGTCGCAGGACCCGAATCAAACAAAGAATTCGAAAAACGAAAATCATTCCTCAGCCATGAAGCCTGAAAATTCCAGCGCCATGATATGGATAAAATCTATTCCTCCTCCTTCTCCCAATCCAATTCCAATCTCCCCACAGCTTTCTTATAATTCGCCAATTTCGCCATAACCTCTTCAGCCGTCGTCGCCTCCGCCATAATCGTAGCATTCCCTTCCGCAACAAAACCCGACCCCACAGCTTTCTTTACCCATTGTAATAACCCATCCCAATACCCATCAACATTATACACCACGACGGGTTTGTCGTGAATTCCGAGTTGGTTCCATGTTGCGATCTAGACAGATCACATCAAAAGTCAGCAAAAATCTCACACACGAACTTCGTTTCCAACCAAATCAATCATTTCAAGAATGACTGGATAGGTAGGTAGTTTTGGTAAGTACTCACCTCCATCAACTCCTCCAAAGTCCCATACCCCCCACTAATAGCCACAAACCCACTTCCTTTCCCTCCAGCCAAAACTTCCTCGACCATTTTCTTCTTCCGTGTATGCATATCCGGTACAATTGTCGTTTTCCCGAATTTTTCGTCATCTTTTTGTTTTTGTTCCGACATGCCGTTTTCTTTGCAATCTTCTTCGTTGGTGTATTTTCGTTCAAAGGCCATGAGAGCGTTGGGGATTATGCCGTGGGCGGAGGAGGGACCGGAGAGGGTTACGAGGTGGGAGGCGACTTCGCCCACTGTGGAGAAACAAAGAGGAGTTAGTTGGAGGGGCGGGGATTTTTGGAATTTTTGGGGGATTGGGACGCACTGAGGCCGGATGTTCCGCCGCCGAAGATGAGTTTTGCGCCATTCTTATGGAGGGATTGGGCGAGGGAGCGGGCGGCTTCGAGATGGGAGGGATCTTTGCCTGCTGAGGTGCCGCAGCTGGGAGGTGGTGTTAGAGGGGGTTTTGATTGTTGGAAGATCTGAAGTTGAGACATAGTCTTACAATACGCATACGACTGGAGGTTTGTTGTTCTCTTCTTCGATAGAACCCATGATGGCGACGACGGGGATGAGGGTGACGATGTTGGCTTCTGGTCAATATTCACCACTTTGTGAGCAAGGTCAATGAAGAAAATCCAAGAGGAAAAAGAAGAGGAAAAAGAAGAAGCAGAAAGAGTTCCCAGAATTTCTCCAAACAACAGAGAAACTCTCACAACAAGTGCGAATGTTAACAGTTTTGGCCCTGCTGAACCTCAGCCCTTACAGTAACCTGAACCATAAAGCTTCCGATCGTTCACCAGAAAGAAACTCAACGAGCGAACCACATGCCAACACGTTCTTTTTCTCCCTAGTTCAGACATTGCAGCATCCAGAACCAAACAAGCGGTAAAGGGAAACCATAAGCAACAACGCGTCACACGCAAGCCAATGAAACGTAAAAAGCATATGCGAGTATGGTAGGTTTTGAGACGTTGTTGCGATTTGCATACGCGGATATGTAGATCACGACACGGCGGTGGCGCAAACAGCAAATCCGTCATACGCTCGCCCTGCGTTCTGGAAATGCCGTTTTGGGAAAGGGAGCTCCAGAGAGAAGTTTAAGCTGCTGAGGGTTTGTGCTAGGGCATAATTATGATATCACGAGTTCCACTTGAGTTTTGTCGTTGTGGACAGCGCATACGCGGGGCAGGCGTGATTCTCCGAGAGGAGAGAAGGGAGGTAGGTGTATTGCAGTGTGAAGGGGTTGTGGTGTCGTGGAAGATGTAATTTTGTCCAGCGGGAAAACAATGATGTCGCGGAGGTCGTGGAGGTGGTCTCATTTGGCGGAGGCATTTGGCAGTGTGGAGTTGCGGAGAAAGAAGGTGGAGCATGTGTGGCCGGCCGCCGACGGCGTTGAACATCACTTTCGGCTTTCTTTTCGAGTTCTGCTGGTGAGCCGCTAACTAGAGAGCACGTAGATGGCTTGTCGATGCGACAGGACGTGTTATGGCGATCTTTCTGGGCAACGTCCACAAGCGTAAAGAGCAGTCTACACATTTCTTCGGTCTCTTTCTGGGCGGAAAGATTTGCTTTGCTCCCTTCCATTGACCAAAGTCTTCGAGACAGTTGCCTTGGTGTCTTCGCAATCTGCATGCATGATATTCAGCCCACCCTCAGCCAGTGCTACGGTTCCCTTGAGTTACCGATTGCCATGACAGCGCAGACGTTGTCGAGAGATTTGAAGGATGACCGAGCCAATGAGGATGAAAACTCGCACGAGAATAAGTCCTTGTCAGAGAAGAGCGACAACGCAGAAGACAGCCGACCAAATCATGGATCCTTCGATGAAGAGCAGGGCTCCAGTCACCACAACGAAAGTGCTCAAGACCCTTCAGTATCCAAAGACGATGAAGGGAACGTCTATCCCGAAGGTGGGCTTCAAGCCTGGCTTGTCGTTGCCGGTGGTTTCTTCGGAATGATGGCTGCGTTCGGCTACATGAACACTGTAGGAACATATCAGGCGTACCTCGCTACGAACCAACTAGCCTCGTACTCCGAATCTTCCATCAGCTGGATCTTCTCGGTCTACATCTTTCTCGCTTTCGGCGCTGGTGTTCAAGTCGGTCCGATCTTCGACAAACATGGCCCCTTCTGGTTGACAGTTGCCGGAGCTGTATGTCTGCTGCTGAGCGTTTTCTTGCTTGGGGTGTGCACACAGTATTGGCATTTCATGATCGTGTTTGGTATCCTGGGAGGTCTTGGCAATGCGTTCATTTTCACGCCTGCGGTGTCTTCCGTTGGGCATTGGTTCTACAAGGGAAGAGGAAATGCAACTGGTATTGCGACTTGTGGTGGTGCGCTTGGAGGTGTCATCTTTCCGCTCATGTTGCAAGAACTGTTTCCCAAGGTTGGATGGGCTTGGGCAACCAGGATACAGGGTTTCATTTTTGTGCTTCTGTTGGCAATCGCGGTTCTGTTGACTCGTTCGAGACTGCCGCCGAGAAAAGGAGGAAGTGCGCTGCCTGATGTGAGGGTGTTCGCTGATCCGGCATTTGCCTTGGTCACGGCTGGCTCTTTCTTCTTGGAATTGTCGCTTTTCATTCCGATCGCGTACATCACATCTTACGCATTGGAGACCGATGGAGCCATTTCGGAAACTTTTGCGTACCAGCTTTTGGCCATTTTCAACGCAGGCTCTTTCCTCGGACGATGGGCGCCTGGCTACATCGCGGACAAGCTTGGCCGATACAACACTCAAGTTTCTGCAGTCTTCCTCTGCGCTGCCTCAGCTCTTGGACTATGGCTTCCAGCTACGGTCCTGGCCAAGGAAGCGGCATCGACGACCATTCTTGGCCTCACTGTTGCTTTTGCGGCATTGATGGGCTTCGCATCCGGTAGCAATATTTCACTGACGCCGGTCTGCGTAGGCATGCTATGTCCGACGAAGGAGTATGGTCGCTATGTGGCCACGACGTACACCGTGGTCTCAATTGGCTGCTTGATTGGCTTGCCAATAGCAGGTGCTATTTTATCAGCAACTGGTGGCTCATACTGGGGAGTGGCCTTATTCACTGGTCTGGGTTACATCTGTGGCCTCGCCTGTTTCGCGACTGTCAGAGTCATGAAAGCTGGTTGGAAGCTCAACGTCCTGTACTAGCTTGGTCCGCCTGCGAAGTCCTATTATACACCTCTACGCGGTCGCAGGTAGAAACAGATAGCTTCGGCTATACTAGCAAAGTGTAGGGCGGCTAGACACCTATAGAGGCAGGAAGAAGGCGACAAAAAAAGTCTAGAATTTCGACCTAGAGAGATTAGAGAGCTCCTAAAAACACGAAGACGACGCTAGCGCGATATAACTACTATAAGATTCTAATACTCGACTACGGGACAGCCCTTCTAGGTAGTAAATACTACTATAGGTCTAGAGGCTAGAGTAGTAACTTAAGCTCTAAATAGGCTAAA